CTGGAAAACAGTATGCAAAAAATGTTAAAACTGTTAGAATCTTAATCTCCTCTACATACCAAGACATGGACATTGATTTGAGTACAGAACTGCTGTGCATTTTTGGTTGTCTCCAGGAGCTGTCCTGTTTTAAGATTTATGATGATTACTTTGTGGGTTAAGAGACCAGAGTTAATAAGTAAATTCTGGTTTGCCAAAGGATGTACAAAGTGCTTAATTTAAAATGAAAGAATGAAATTAAATGAAGGAAAACAAAACTGAAACTCCCAACACCTTGTAATACCTGTTGACGTAAACTCAGTGTACAGTAGATTGGTTTTCTGTACGATATTTCCCACCAAAATAATAGAAAAGATGAGAAAATCTAGGAATGCTGTTGCAGTTAGCCAAGAGTTGCAATTTTTTAAAAAAAGCCAAAAAATCCTCCACACAAAACCCATTGCATTATTATTTTGATTTTTACAAAAGAAGCTGTTTTTCTCCAAAGACATTGGAATGAATGAGGAAATTCTGGTAGATTTCCCTTATAATGCATATTTGTTCTGAAGTGGATTCTTAATAAGTCTGTGTGGAACAAAATTCTGTTGCATTCTTGATAGACTAGAAAAATCCTTAAAAAAATAAGAAATAATGGATGCTTTGAGCAAAACATTGTTTTTTGGTGTGGTCTTTCCACAGGATAAACGTCTTGTTCCTGGAGGTGGTGCGACAGAGATTGAATTAGCCAAGCAAATCACATCCTATGGAGAGGTACAGCAAACAGGCTTCTTGGCTTTTCATCTTCATATGCACGTCTTACAAAAAAGTACAAATATTATTTCATACCAACATATATATATGTGTAATAACAAGTGTGGGAGGAAACGCCTTCCTATCTTACAGTTTATGAAGTGCTGACATGGTTTTCAATTTCATTTTAGACTTGTCCTGGGCTTGACCAATATGCCATCAAGAAGTTTGCTGAGGCATTTGAAGCCATTCCTCGAGCACTGGCAGAAAACTCTGGAGTAAAGGCTAATGAGGTCATCTCCAAACTGTATGCCGTGCATCAGGAGGGGAAGAAAAATGTTGGATTTGATATTGAGGTAGATAGTCTCTCATGTTACTTGTTGCCTTGCAGTCCAGGGTTATACTTAACAGTACTTCTATCAGTATGAAGTATTTATAGATTATTTTAAATTGTTGGAAGCTCTGTGAGACACAGTCTAATAACTTTCTGGAATTGAAATCCTTAAATGTTCTTTTTATCATCAAGTAGTTCAGTTCGGTACAGTATAATGGCCTTGTGTCAGAGGTGGAGTGGGATACAGAGCTAATATGTCAGGGAGTAGGTCTTGACTAATTACCAACTTCCTGCTAATGGATTAGGAATGCAGATTTTCTGAAGGGAGAAGATGTGATTAGAAAAGTGATACCACCTTGCTAGGTGAAAGCCTGAGAAAGTTTTGAATAATGTTTTTTCCCCATCTGACAGGCTGAAGCTGCTGCAGTGAAGGACATGTTTGAAGCTGGTGTGTTAGACACCTATCTTGGAAAATTCTGGGGTATCAAGCTAGCTACAAATGCAGCAGTAACTGTCCTAAGGGTTGATCAGGTAAGCTTATGTGTCATTTGGGTACTGAATTAAAACCTGACAGAACCCTCATGGAAATAGGTGGAATCTCATGGAAATGCAAGGCATAAACATAATGCTACTTGAGAATGTGGTTTGTTCATTTCTGGAAGCCAGGAAGTAATTTGTTCGAGAGCTTGTAATCTGGAATGTGGCTGCTTCTATAGCAGTACTATTAATGTTTGTTGGGTTTGGGATTTTTATTTTTTTTTTTCATTTTGTTGATATTTTGAAGACAGTTGATGTTTGTATCCTGAGAGTTACCCTAACTTCTGTAGGAACAAGCTTTAATAGAAGAAAAAAACATTCTCTCGTATATTTTTACATGAAAATCCAATTTTTAGGAAAAATAGAGGTTACAGGCTTGATGATAAAAATCTTTTGATTATTTTGTGAAACTTCATAAAAAATGAATTTGCATGTAAAATTTCTGTAGATTATTATGGCAAAAACAGCAGGCGGTCCAAAAGCCCCTAAGCAACAAGGACATTGGGATAAGGATGACTGGAAAGATGAGCCTGAAAACTAGTGTGCAGTAAGCTCTGTTTCTCTAGCAGAGAGGTATCTGTGTGAGTGCATGCTTGAGTTCATTGACAAGCACATGGCAGATTGTATGCTCCTTGAGAACACATAACACTGCTGTCTTCTGCTGTGTGCTGATTGCTGCATCCTATATTTGTGCCTTTGAAAATGGATTCTGCTCCTAAATCCAAATTTTCATGGAAGGGATGATACGTGCAGGTTCAGACTTACCTTATTTGTCTATGTAGCCAGTGCAGAGAATGAGCTTTAATATGGTAGGACTAATGGACTTCATGGTTTTAAAGTGTGATACTTAGAGACAGTAATTGAGAACAATAGCTTTGATAATCTTCCTTTATGCAGTGTGCACCCTGTAAACTAGTCTGCTGTTGTCCTATTTGAGCACTCACTTTCTTGAGACTAACTGAAGTCTTACTTTGCATGCAAAAATGGCATAAAATACCTTTTTTTACTGTATCAAGGCTCAGCCTCTACCATTCTGAACAAAAATAACTAAGTTAATATCTCAATGAGATGGGTATTCACTGGCTTGGGTTCCAAGTAGGGAAACTGCATGAATGTAGTGAATGCTAGCAGTCAGCATCACATGGCTGTAGAGAAGGGTATGAGCCTGATTTTAACATTAGTTTTTTCTACTTCTCTATTCTCTTCAAGATCATTATGGCAAAACCAGCTGGTGGCCCAAAACCTCCGTCAGGAAAGAAAGACTGGGATGAAGACCAAAATGATTGAACAATTTAACTGTATTTCTTAAGTGACATGACTTTGTGAGTTTTTTAATATCCCAGTTGGATCCTGTCACAATGTTTTGAATTTGCTTTAAATTATGAACAGTGTCCAATGGAGTGCAGAACTTCAAACACCTCAATAAATGTACTCACTGTTAAAATGTTGACTTACTTCATTTGAAGCTATCATGACATGGTTGTTCCCAATGTGTGAATGTGCAGGGGATGAATGACACTGTGGGTATGATGGGCTGACCCTTGGCTGGCTGCCTTATGCTCTCTTCTGGTGAGGAAGGAGCCAGAACTTCTCAGGGGCCGAGTTAAAGGAGGAAATCACATACCAGTTTCTGTTGTGGGCACAAGAAACTCAATCTGCAGGGAGGCCGACTGTGAGCCTGCTGCAGAGAGCTCATGATCGACGATTGTAAGGCTCTTGGTGCTCTTATTTGTGCTCCTTGGCCAGTACTTGAGTGTAAACAGTCAAATAAATGTTGAAATAATTGTTGGCAGCAGGTCTCCTGCCTACAGTAGCCCCTCTCCTGAGACCCCACTTGGAGCACTGTGTACAGGTGTGCCCCAAACATAGAAAGATGGAGAACTGTTAGAGTGAGTCCAGAGAAGTCACCACGTTGATAAGGGGACTGAGCACTATGGAGCACAGAATGTTGGGGCTGTTCAGCCTGGAGAAGAGATGGTTGTGTGGAGACCTCACAGCACTTCCTATTATCTGAAGGGGCTACGGGGAAGCTGGAGAGGAACTCTGCATCAGGGAATATAGTAACAGGACAAAGGGGAATGCCTTCAAACTGAAATATGGGAAATTTAGGGTTGACACACAGAAGAAATTTTTCCCTGTGAGGGTGGTGAGGCCCTGGCACAGGTTGCTCAGAGAAACTGGCTGCCCCATGCCTGGAATTGCTCAAGGCCAGGTTGGATAGGACTTGGAGCAGCCTGGTGTAGTGGGAGGTGTCCCTGCCCATGGCAGGGGTTTGGAACTGAATGATCTTTAAGGTCCTTACCCATACAAATCAATTTGATTCTATGATTCATATTTTTTTACATGCATGCATCTCTCGCCTCACCCTTTTAAGTCCCCATGCTCTCAAAAGGGCATCCTGACAGCAGTGAACTGCATCACATTCTAATGACCTTAAAAATAAATGCTGAGTAGCACTAGCCAGCATGAATGCAGAGTGCTGGAATCTTTCAACTGAAGCCCCCTGTTAAGATTAATCTTGGGAAGTAAACAGCTTATGTGTCTCCAAGTAGCTTGAAAGGATAACTGCACTTGAAATCCAAGCCACTTCAATAATTAATCCTTTTACTACTCTTGCCAGCGCTACTCTATCTCACAACCAGAAGGGAGTGGAAGGCTAAATCAAGTCTGGAACTATCTTATGCCTAAATAAGGCTGCCATACAACAGCTCTACTAATGATGGCTTTATAGTCAGTTGGTGGTGAGGCTGAAAAATAAACTCAGCAAGTTTTCAGAAGGATTGGCATACTGCTATAGTCAGCTGCATGAGGGCTACTGCTGCTGGCTCTAAGGGTTGCAAGAACAAGATGCCCATTTTCTTAGTAAAGCTGTTGTGAAAAAATGCACTGAATGTAAGCAGCTGCTGCTCTAGCTTGGCAGAGCCAAGATTTCATTCACATGAAAGCCATCGTGAAGCTTGTGGAGAACTTCAAAGTCACGTCAGTGCAGGACTACTACTGGTCTTAAGCTTGCTGTGCAGAAAGGCTACACGGGACAGCCTGTAGTGAGAGCGAGCTGAGCACTCAGCCTTGCCAAACCACCAGCAAGAGAATGCCTGGAGCATCTGCAAACTTGAGAGCTCCTCTATTGGACATAAACTGATAGTGAAAAGAGAGCTGAGGCTGCAATTGTTTTGGCTCTTAAGATATGTAGGAAGAAACAGCTTCTTATGCTTGGAACCCAGGTCTAAAAAACGCATGGGAACACATGATAGCTAGTGAACTACAGTTCAAAAGTAGAACTGTCTGCTTTAAAGTGAAAAAGCTGCTGATCAAGATTTATATCAATATCCAAATTACTCAACAAAAACACAAAGCTGTAATTTTGGAAAAAACTTTTATTGAAAAGTAGTGGAAACACTGGAAAAAGTATAAGTTAACCACTTGTCAGTGTGTCTAAAATGCAGAAAGTGAATTCCTGCTGTATAGCTCCAACATGTTAACAACATGATTTGCAAGTCTTCTCTCAGACCTCCAAAGAAGGTGGCTGCAACACACAAGGCTCTTCTGATGAGTTACAGCAGCCTCTCATAGAACAGAAGATAGGCTTGGGAGCTCAGCACTTTGGACACAGAGACAGGTTGTACATGGGTATCGCTGATGTGGAACCACTGACCTTTCACTGGCTCAGTTTCTGAAGCTGTGAAAGGAAAAATGTAGGAGTAAAAGTTACAACAAAGAATTGAAGCAATCAGTTCTATTACTGTCCTTTAAGAATCATAGAGTACAATCATAGAATCATTGAGTTGGAAAAGACCTCCAAGATCCAACACCTGTGACTGATCACTGCCTTGTCAACTGGACCAGAGCATTGCTACACCTGGCTGTTCCCTGAACACCTCCAGGGATGGGGATGTCACCACATCCTTGGGCAGCCTGTTCCAATGCTTAACCACCATTTTGTCTTCATCCCTTCCTAATGTCCAACCTGAACCTCCCCTGGCACAGTCTGAGGCCATTTTCTCTTCCTGTCACTGGTTGCCTGGGAGCAGAGCTGGATCCCCACCTCACTACACCCTCCTTTCAGGCAGTTCTGGAAAGTAAGATCTCCCCTGAGCCTCCTTTTCTCCAGGCTAAGCCCTCCCAACTCCCTCTGCTGCTCCTTACAGGATTTCACCAGCTTCATTGCCCATCTCGGAGAACTTTTTGGCCATGGCAGGAGGTTTGAACTACATGATCTTTAAGGCCCCTTCCAACCCAAACCATTTTGTGATTCTGTAAGAAATAATTTGTAAAAATATTTCTAATGATTTACCTTGAGATTGTCCTCGAAGGACAAGATCAGAGAGGTGGTTGTTCATAGCTCTCATTTTAACATAGGCAGTGTAGTGCCCAGACCTCATTGTTCCGCTGTGTTCAACAACTCCATAGAGAGAGTACAAGACCTTTGTATTCCCTTCAGCCACATTCTAGAAAACCACAAGTTTAGCTATGTCAGCCAAGTGCTGGGTTTTGAAGAATGTAAACTTTGCTTTTTTTGCTGATGAAATGGAAACTGATCACAAGAGATTCATGCAAGCACTACAGTTGCAAGCAGTAAAGTACAAGTTAACACACAAAGTAGCAGGCTTGACAAGCATTCTACAAAGATTTTGCTATGCAGCTTTGTTGTGAAAGCACATTAGAACATGGCATAGGAGAATCTGATTGTTTTCCCACTTACTTTACATTTAGCTGTACAGAAAGGAGCCAAGTCTATCACTTCTGGGAACTTGATATGCCTGTTAACCTTCTGCAGATTAAATCCAGCCTTAAACAATCAAAGTAGAGGGAAAACCCCATAATGTTAAAATGGAGCATATTAAAACCATTCTTAGTTACTAAATGTTCCAGGTTAAAGTTTCAACAATACAAATTAGTTTTACATTATACAAAACTGGGAAAAAGCGAATTTTTTTATTTCTGATTTCCAGTATTCCAGCATTATTTCCTTGCCCCCACATGCTGCACTGGAGCACAAGTTAAGATGGCTCTTCAGCTCACTCATACATTAATGTAATGGTAGCAGAAGTGGAAAAAGAATCAGCTCTAATGTACTTCAGTAACTATGAGGACAACTCTTGCTTCTCAGATACTGTAACATGCCTGAGGATCTGATCTTAGAGCATCTGAACTGATGCAAACTGTGCTCCCACTTAAATAATCATCCAGTATCAAACTGGAAAAACAAAAGGAGATGATGATAAATGTTATTTTCTTCATATTATAGGCTCTTGGAACAGGCTACACATCTCTATTTTCTATATGAAATTGGTTTTCATCTGATCAAAGTTGCCTCACTTATTTTTTAAGTATATTGACCAAAACACCAAACAGGTTTAAATTTACAAGAGGTAATATTGTCTTCCCTTTCCTTTCCTCTTTCTCTCTTGAAAAGCTGAAGCCCCAAGTTAAAAATTTTTCTACAACTTGGGAATAAAGAGGTAAGTGACTTTACTTCAGTGTCTGTAAATAAAACTTAAGTTACTTTGCTTTCCTTTTATCCTTCCTTGTCCCCCACAAGGCTCAGAATACTCTCTTTTCCACTTCTGCCAACTTGTTACTTATTTGTTACTAGTAAGGGATCCTATTTACCTCTACCTACTGAAATATACGAGCCCATGACCAGCAGTAATAGCAGGAAACCATTAATGCTAAAATTCTGCTTAATACAGTAAACAGTAAGAATAATGAGGGAATATGTTATGAATATGCTCACAAAACAATGTTTTCCATTTAATCAAGGAATATTCTTTCAGGAAAACACACTTCAATGCCTCTAAGACCACAAAACACAATGCTGCACACTAATGCCTTCCAAACTTTGGGAAAAAAAAAACCAAACTAGTTGTATACAAAATAAAAGTAACACTAGCATGTTTTCAAGTTAAGCTAGGACTACATGCATATGTACATGTATTTACGTATCAACCTGAGGCTATATACATGTATCAGCCTGATACTTACCTGCTGAAACCTTTTTAAGTGAAGGGTTAAAATTGGAGGAGCTAGAGAGATAAGCATCTGCTTTTTGGCATTGGTATAAACATACTTCTTTTCACCTGCAGAAAAGAAAAATCACCAAAGATTAAAACAAGTTTTGTATCAAAACAAATGTTACAGCAGGAATTTATTTTCACTAAACTGTTACAGTGTCATCTACTACAAGAACTGAGAAGCTGAGCATTCCCCTTTAATATGATGAATGACAGTAGACAAAGTTGTACAAATACTACTTTAGGGATAATCCCCCCACCCTTTACCCACTCAAGAAGCAGACAGGGATATATTTAAAGTTTTCTTTTAAAAAAGTTTGTCATACTTTTTATGTTGTTCTTTGGTCCACAATGCCTTTGTGTACACACATCACACAGTAGTTTATTGGTTTCGGTAAGTGTTTCATTACGGGTAAATTGATACAAACAGTGATGGATTGAATCTTCCTCAGGGTTCAACTCTTCCCTGTTTGCCAGAGTACAGAATGCTGTTTCGGGGTCATCTGTAGACACTTCACACGTTTTGTTAGGAACAGGCTGTAGGCCATCCAAGGTACTTGCGTCAGATTCACTGGCACTCAGGTGGAGTTTTGAAAAGTCCGCAGCAAGCTCTTCCTCATCTTCATTTTCATCATCCTCCTCTTTCAAAGACAGGTTGTCAAGGCCATTGACAAACTTCATAGCAGAATCTAAGCTTTCCATAGAGAGATCCGTGAAAGACTCATTTTCCTCACACTCTTGTTCTGGCTTTCCTGTATTTTCATGCCTGCTCTGAATCTCTGTACTATTTCCCTGTATACTCAAGTCTTTCTGAGTTAAGCAGTGATCTTTGCAATCATGTGATGATTCCTCTTCTTGCCTCTTATCAAGAGTTTCAGAGCTTATTTCAGTCTCTGATTCTTGGTTGTACTCTACATCTACCTCTGGCTGTTCAGTTGCACAGAGATCTGTCAACTGAAACACCTTTCCTTGAAGTTTTTGCTGCCGGCGTTGGCTCTGCCCATTTGAATACATAATAAACAAGAGTACAAAAAACAAAGTAAGTACAAATTATATTTAGCAATTCTTACCAGTTCTTTATCAGAATGTTTGTTGCATGCCATAGATGCACAAGGCAGGAGGGGGAAGAACAATCTATGATTTAATGATCAGAGATGATCAGTTCCACTAACACTGAAGTTATCCTCACTCAGACATAATTCCCCCCCCCCCCCCCGCTGCTCCTTGTTACACAGTATCATCAAAACACAGCTGATGATGCCCTTGCTATTTTCCTGATCTTTCTTGCGTCTGTAGTCTAAAGTTTTGTGAATATTCTTGCAATCAGTGACAGGAAAACAGTCTGATACAAATTATGGCTACTTCAGACAGGCAACAAATTCTGCTGGATATTATTATATTATTCCTACACAGCAATGCTCAACAGAACATCTTAACAGCAAACACATGGGTATAATTGGTCTTTTCAGCTGGGCATTTGAAATAGGAGAAATTCTAAGTTCTCTCCTCCTTCATGTAAACTTAGGAAACAAAAGGAATTTCTTTCATTAGAAATAGCAAGCAGAACTGAAATACCTATCCAAACCAACCTTGGCTCGTTTTCTGGCCTGTTTCTTCTCTTTTTTCTCTAGGTGCTTACTTGTACGAGGGGGCTCATCTTTCTGCTTAAGGTAATGGTCATTGATTCTATTCTCTTCATCTTCGGACTCCTTTTCTTTTTTTTTCTTAGTATTTTCTCTCTTTGTAATTTTCACTTTCTACAAAACCCAAAAAGCCACAGAACAACCACAGAAACAGAGACGTTATCTGAGTTTTCAGCTCAAATATAGCATTTTAATGATGTAACATACAACTCACACCCTGATATTAATGGAAGGAGTGTCTCACTCAAGAGTCCACATGAAACAAGGACTAGCATGAATGAAACAGTATGAAAAGTAAGGCTTTTGAGGGCCAAATTCTGAACCTGTAAAGGGGCAACATCACCTTTGCCTCTAACAGATCTCATTAAATGCATTGAAGAGTAATGTTTTACACAAGTAGAGACATTTTCAGTTGAACTGCCTGCCACAGAACTTGTTTGCTTCTGCTAAAGTGAAAAGCTTGTTTGTGGCAAAAGTCATGACCCCTTTGGCTCTGGGTGTTCCATTCCAATATTTATGAGTAAGCAGTGCTACACAAAAAATCTGAAATATTACATATACATGTTATTAATACAAAACACAAAGCAAATCAAATACTTTGAGTGAGTGGAGATTGATCAAATAAGTATTCACATACTATCCTATCAGCATTTCTTAACTTTATTCCATAACCTGAATATTAGGAGAAGTATTCTGGTACTTGGTGCAGAAAAATGGATGAAAAAAGTGAAAACAAACCCCCAAAGAACTCAAACAACCTGTATGATTTCCCAGAGACAATTTATGAGCCACAACTTACAGGAATGGCTCTCACGAAAAATCTTTTTCTCTACCTTTCTGTGCAATTTTGACTTGCAAAAGATACTTTTGCAAAAAAGTAGAAGTTTAAATGCTCTTCCTAATGACTGAATAATAAGTGTTTTCACATAAACAAAAAATATATATAAGCTGAAAAGCACCTATGTACTGTTTCTTACCTGAACATCTAGTACAGGAAGCGACAAATCAAGGAAAGACTCATGGACCAAGGACACCTTTAAATGAATAATCAAGAGCCCAATTTAATTTTGTTTGGAAGCAGATGGCTTGCTGTCAATAGATGCATTTGCATGTTTGCATTCAAGGCCTGCTTTCACTTGTGCACACAACTGTAAAACACAGCTCATTTATGTCCACAAATAGCTTTCAATGACCAAAAATCCAGCAGTCACATTACCACAGAAATTAGCAGGAAATATTTTGATGAATTTCAGTTATCTAGTGAGACTGCACCTTAGGGCCTAAGAGACTCACATTTGTAATCTATCATGATATTCAACTAGCCCATTTGTTAATGCACTCAATTACTTCATTCTCGGGATGTATTATCCCAGTAATGCCTTCTTAGCTGTCCTCCTGGCAATCCCATGTTTTTTTCATTCTGGGAGAGGGGAAAACGTAATCCCCTGAATAAAAAAGGGTAGGGCCCCATAACAACTAATTTACTCTATGATCTGTATCACTGGAAGGTGTTCACTGGGAATCTAGGAGGGAATTCTGGCAGGGGCAGCTTGCTGTTGCTGACCTCTTTTTCTGGAAGGCTTTTGAAAGGAACTGGAAGATTATCTTTAAAAACACAAGGCAAGAAAAAATTCCAGACAAACCACACTCCTTTTTGAAAAGCATGCAGCTAGTCAAGTCTTATTTCTACAGACAGTCACTCTGGGCTTCTCCTGCAGATTACAGGACATAACTGTAGGTCATACATACTCTAGGTCATTCAGAGCAGGCACTTTACTTACAGTTCTGCATTCCTCACACATAATTGTGCTGGTTAATTCTCCACCAAAGATTCGATCTACAAAACTTTGTATTCCCTTTTTCTTTTCATATTCTGAGAATTCAAAAATTATATAGTAAAGTTAAAAATATTATACACAATACACTGGCAACCAATTTCATTACAACATACCAAATGAAAATGGAGAATATAACATGCAAGGTATATGATGGAACATGTTGACCTGCTCAGGTTTCCTCAGGATAGCAAGTACAGCAAGATTCTTAAATTAAGAATCTTTTGCGTATCAAAAGAATGGGGGTGAAAACACATTTGCAGAACACAGCTGGGTTAAACCATACCTCTACCACTTTCTCTGCTCAAATGCATTTCCCTCTTTTCTCAGAAGTACTGCGTTTCACTAAGAATTTCTGTTTTCTCTCAAGACTGAAACAACTATCTGAACTTAAAAGACAAGCACCAACTTTTGTCTGACAAACAAAACCATTTTCTTCAAGTTGTAATTTCAGAGTAACACAGTTTGAATTTAAATTGGTAGCTCATCTCCAAAGTCATGTTGAAAAGTTTAAAATTCTTCTGTTCATTGTTTGGATTTTTTTTATATTACTGTTAAGTAACAATGGACTATTAGCAGCTGCATAAATTATATTCACATACTAGTATTTTTATTTCTTACATGTTTGAATGATTAATCATGGCCCAAACATATTTTAATGTATGATGTCTACAGAATCAACTCTCTCTTATCCTATCAAGAAGGAAATGCCACCAAGACATTTCAGCAAAACATTTAAATATAGATTAGAACTACTGACCCTGTTATTCTAGCTAACACATGCATACTCAGGAGATGGCATAAAGTTTAACAAGTAAACATGTATCTTTTAGTTGATACTATTAATGTTACTTTATATACTTCAAAAAAAGAGATTTTACAAATTACTGATGCTGTGATAATTTATTTTACCTTTAATTTTCTTTTTAAGTTCTTCTTCATTTTGTTTGTTAGAGTCACTCAGCGCCTTTAGTATTCCAACACTTATTTGCTGAAATTTTCAAAACAAATATACTCTGTAAATTTTCCTAAATTAATTCAGTTAACTACTTCATTTTATGATGTGTTTCAGATAGAAGAAAAAGTATTATCTTCACCAATTAAGATAATCAATACAAACAACACAAGTACCTGTGGAACCACACAACAGTTCCTGTAGATATTAAAAGAAAAAATAAATCAACTGAGAAGTTGCAACCATCATGTTCCAATTAGTATGTAAGAAAATCAGTCTAAGGATGAAATACTAGCCCAAATTAAAAATGGCAAGAAACCCCTACAGAATTTCTACCAGTCTGTTTCAGAAATGAAGACATTCTTTAGAGAGACTACACATGTTCCAAACCCACTTTTTCTGTGAGTTATCTTTGCTAATATGCTTCAAGTGAGTGCTATGGATAGCACAACCATGCTACAGAGGCTGACATATCTCAGAAAGTATGTTCTTCCTCCCCTCAGCAGAGGAAAGAGTCTGGGTCTGGGACATGAAGAAGAAAGGTATGCACAACTATGACTCTAGCACTCACTTGGATTTCTTCTGCTCTCATTCCATCAAGTAAGTAACGAAGCAATTCATGACTGTCTTGCTGCTGATAACCTTTGAATCGTATTGCTCTGTTAAATGAAATTGTAAAGTATAACTGAACTCAGAGATAAAGCAAAAACAATTAATTCCAAACATGTATAGACAAAGTCTCCGGAATGTATGGATATAAAAGCAACAAGCATCTATACATCGTATTTTCTAAAAATATGATGCCAGCTACTCAGTATGGTATGTTACTGAGTATCTTTCATTTTACTGCTATTTATTTATATTTTTATCTTCTTTCAAAAATTGTTAAGTACTCTACAAATTTTATATGGTGTGTTTTGAGCTAGACATAAAAAAAGAGGAAAAACTGACAGTCTTAGACAAGAAACTTTTTCAGAGTGACTATAACATGCAATTTGCACAGATACTCACTTTTTGCAAACCTGAGCAAAAAGTTCCTTAGGAGTCACTACGCCTTTTTTTGTCTCTTGCATTTCTGTCACAAACTGATGCATGGCTAGTGTTAAAGGACCTGGCTGATCCAGTTTTATTAGCTGAGGTTCCTGTTTGAAAGAAAAGCACAAGAGTTGTTTTGCCTTAATTCAGTGGCAGATTCTTTTGAAGTAAGTTTATTTTTTTTTCAGTTCCTGAAAATATTATTGTCAAATAGAATACACAAAATTCCAAAATGGCAATGAGTTAACCTGACAAAAACGTGTGGTTTATCATGAAATAGCAAAACTCATTTATTGTTTAGTTCAAAGTCTCGATTTCTTGCCTTTACTAGGAAAAAAACCCAATTTCTTAAAAAAGGTTGTGTATTTTCTTTGTCATCCAAATCTAACTGTAGTGACAGGCGTGTTATTTAACACAGACAGTCTCTAATTTCCTATTCTGCATTTAGATAAGTGGCATTATAGCAAGAGTTACACATTTTCACCCTTTAAATATCATCATAATGCAAGCACTCCTACAACAGAGTATTGAATCACTGCTCTTACAGTCCAAACAAAATACCTCTGCTGACTTCAGAAGCGCTTTATGGAAATCAGTGGTGAAGCTCCTGCTGATTTTACATCTTAATCTTGTTAGTATTATGTGGAACAACTTTAAAATTGATAGATAAGTATTGCTTGTTTCCTTAATAGACTGGAAGGCAAGGACAAACACTACAGAGGTCAAAGCATTTTACCATGCATAGCTCAGGTGACTCAATTTTAACTGTTGTGCCAGGCACTTTAGCTTCTTTAAGCAGCTCCCTCAGGACTGGAGTTTGTGATAAATTCTGTAGAACATAAAAGACAGAAAGAGATTGGAAAACAGGGACAACAGGAAGGGCAGCTGAACTCTGCTAGTCATGGAATTTGTAGCAACCAGTTTAGTAGCAATTTATTTTCCCAAACACAGAACTAAAGTGGTTAACTACCACTTCAGAATTTCCATCTGTGTTTAAGACTTAAAGGTACATTCCAGATAGCTAATGGGACTTCCAGTGTCCTCTATAAACCTTACTTCATATTGCAGAAACCCTAAATGTATTTTTCTTCTACAGACTGATCTTTTGACAAGTGTATTTACCACTGACTGTTTCTAAAAAATCAAAGGATAATATGCTGTGTATGTATTTACTTGGGTTTAAAAAGTGTTTAAAAGTAAATCAAAAGCAGTTCACTAAAATCTGCAAGTACAGTGGGAATTTTGTTTGAGTAAAGCTTCAGTATCAAGAGCCAAAGAGCACAAGATCACATCAGTTTCAATACACATGGAAGAACAAGTTTATTCTACACTTCTTAGCTGAACAAGTCACGCAAGATGGCAATGCCTGCAACATGCTCATCTTGTTTTGTTCATCCAGTATTTCCTTTTGATTTCCTGTTCCTGAGAGAGACATTTTTATTACAATAAACACCCATGGTCTTTGAGTACTAATCTCTTATACTCAAAGAGGTCACAAGGGTGATGTGTCAGACTATTTCATATTTTTAAAAAATAACTAGAAGTTGGCACGCTTAATTTATATCAGTAAAAAATGCTGTCCCTCAAGGACAAGGCAGTTTCTTGTATTTCCCCTCAGAGCAAGTCTGAACCTGCAGCTCCATTTCTTTGTATTTCTCTGGGCCAACACACTATTTTTAGATAGATGCCATCATTCCTGGCAGATAAAAAAAACACATTCTAATTGTGTCACTGTAAAATGCTGGGGGCAGGGTTGTTGTGGGATGTTTTTCATTTTGTTTGTGGCTTTCTTCCTATTCAAAGTTTTTCTAAAAACAACAGCAAGTCCTGTACCTGCATCACTGCATTAAAGAAACATGTATTCCCCAAATTACTAAGTCCTTTCACAGTGACTTCTCCATTAGCAGTTGAATGAGAATTTTCTTCTTTAAGTGAAACTTCTTTTTCTTGCTCATTTTTGCTGTCTTTTTCTACTTTTTTATTTTCAACTTCTTTGTTCTCTTGTTTTTCTATTGAAATAATAAAAACATATCACATATTAAGATAGTCATAGGGTATAGGCTAGAAAAGATTATTACAGCCAGCAGCAATTTATGATGTTTAGAGCTTATACACATGATAATTAATTCTTCAATTTTTTAATATAAAACTACTGGTTTGGGTTCTTAAATTGTCTAGGTAGTAGAAGTTAAAAAATAAACACAACAAAAGAACAAAAACAACAAATCAAGAACCCCCGAAATCCCATTTCAAATTAGCAAGCAAATTAAACATGTCTTGGCCCACAAGCCATTCATGCAAACATCCTCTTAAATTCTTCAAGTGTTAAACTTTATTCCTGTGAAAATCATCTATGTGAGGGCTTTCCACAAAATTAAACAGGCTCCCACTGTCAAAGCATTCTCATGTTCGTTTCATGCACCTAAACAGATGATACTGAAAGGTTTACAGTCTTCAAGACGAGTTAAAAATATTTTCCCCAAAATTATTTTGGTGTATTGCTGAAAATTTCAACAGCCTGTTTAATAATGTTCTAAGGGAGTTCCAGGCAGTTTTCAAAATAACATCCACACTGGTTCTGCCAGTTTGGCAGTCAGCTATTGATTAGGTTTCTAGTAAATACAGCTGAGAGCTAATACTATCTTTAAAATCAAGTAACACAAGTTCAGAGAAAGCAAGGAAAACAGACAATACAATCTTAGGACAAGAAACATATAGATGGACAACAACACACAGAACACATGAAACAGGCAACAACTGCACCCAGGTATTCACTGATTTTCTAGTTAAAACCCAAGAAGAAAATTTTGGCAACTGATATGAAGTTCAACTCTGTGTCTCAGAAAGACTGACCACTCAAAAAACTCTGCTCCCTGTGGGAAAACCTCACCTGCTTTCTCAAAAAATTGAATTCAGAGACAGCCACGTGGCATTGCTGGGTGTTTGTATTCCATTTCCCACAAGGCTTGTGATTGCACTCAAGTGTTGGAATTTCTGACAGTCATTTGTTATAGCATTTATTTTCTTATGCAAATTCTTCCAATTTTTCTAGTGGAAATGCCTTGTACAAAACCAGTTTTGCCATTATGGAAACTAGGAGGTTTTTGCTGTGTTTGTTTTCTTTTAAAAGAAAGACTGCAGGCTGAACACTATATTTTAGATGTCTAAAAGCACTGCAGCTGTCTATCATAAATGTACAGACCCAGTGACAAAAGCTCTGTATACTACTCCTTCCATTAGGAAATGTGCTCTAACAGCAGGAAACTTAGTCATTCTGATACATTCACAAATACCCACAAAAAAACTTTAAATAAAATCAAATCAAATTATCCTTAAGAAAGGCCAATTTTTCTTTAGATTTTAAGATAGACTGAGCAACACTGATGAATAAACACAGCACCCTAAGTACTGAAACTCAAATGCCTATTCACAGAAAAACTGAATGTCACCCTTTAAAAAAAGTCCCAGTAAAACTTCTTTTCCTCCTAGTCTTGGATGTCTTGTCTGTAAAAGTTTAGGGGATGCTGAGCAAAATCCTGACCTAATTAGGCCTGTGGGCTAGGACGTTACTTATGCTATCAGAATTGTGACAAAGAAGATAAAAGAAGGGAAGAAATTAGTTTTTCCCTTTACCATAAGATGCTAGATCTAATTTAGTGTAAATTCTGAATTTATAGTACTGTCTCCAACACTTAGGAGATCTTCTGATTGACTGTATCTATACTATAATTACTTACCTGCATGTGATGAGTCAATACCAACTTGTTTTCTAACAAAATCCACAGTCTGGCCCAAAAGGGTTGAAGTTTTATATGGAACTTCATTATCACATTGGTAGCACCTGTCTCCGCCGCCCCCAAAAGAAAACAATTAATCCTATTTTTTTTTCTAGTATTTAAAAATCCTAAACTATTTACTTGTTTGACACAATTTATTACACAAAGTTATAAAATTACAAGGTTTAGTGTAAGGTGACTGGTGGTTGCAATTTACAAGTATAAATTAAACTTTTAAAATATGTGCTTAGAAACTCTGCTGCAAGAAAAAGAAGCTTGGAAAATTTTGCCAAAAATCAAGAAACTAAGATATCAGGCCCTAAAGGAAATGACTTATGAACATTATGGCATGGGAAATATTTTGAATATTCTAGTCAAGCAAATACTTAATTGTATTTAAGTCAGATAAGAATTAATTCAAGAGTCCACCCTTAAATCTTGTATTTGCTCTTCTACTGCTGACACAAACCCTATTTGTCTGTTTATGAACAAAGAAGTGTATGGTTATGCCAGTAATCTGCTTTAGAGAAAATTGTTGGAGAAGCTGTGGTCATAAAGGCTTGAGAAGAGTAAAACCCTGACAGAACACAAACAGCTGAAGGAGTTTCAAGCATACCAATTTTGTAATTCCACTCGATCAACTCTTTGAAGAAGTGGCAAAAGGTACTGATCCTTCTGCATTTTGGAAAACACCAATTACAGTTCTTACGCAGACTTCAGGATTACCATAAGTCACTCAATTTTCTTACATTAAAAGCAGAAGAAGTCTGCAGCAAAGCATTTCCCCAAATCTCTAGCATTAGCTATAGTCATCACATTTCCTCATATCTCATTAAAAAAATTGGCTCAACTTATTGATTTTTTATCTATTGTGTATCTGGTTAATCATAAAAATGGACATTCTCACTCCTGGAATAACAAAGGATAGTTACTTCTTCCATGGTGTGTTTTAACACCATAACCTTCTACCTGTCAAAAAAATTGCAGACAACCTTGAAAGAATCGAGGGATTGGAAAAGGTTTTGCTAGTGATGGCCATTTGAGCAGCACTGAAAATCAATACAACAGCACTTGTAAACCCAAAAGAGCAGAACTTAATGAATTCCTAGAATTCTCTTTCTTCTCCAAAACATGTCTTTAAACTCTTAACAGTAATTATTTATATCCAATTTGAACCACATGTGCATGGACACTACAGAGAAATTTGGTCACACATCCATATCATTAATAAAAGCAAAAGCAGTTTTGATCAGACTTTTTGTACTAGGCCGACTGTGAAATACAATTCTTGACTGTGGGTTTGATTTATAACTAATTTATAGTCAATATATCGATCTTTGAATCATTTCTTGCTCAAGTTTGTACAACCAAGAAACTCTAGAAGGAATCCAAAACATCTTACTTCGAGAACTTCCTCTCATTTGCAAATATTTTGATTAAAAAGCAGGGAAAATAGAGCACTTCAAACCCACAATTTTAACAGTAATTTAAATTCACAAAGAGTAGTTCGCTAATTCATTAGTAATAATGTTACTAATAAAGTCCATTTCCATTCTAGAGTTCATTAAAAGTAGCGATCATTACAGGTAAGTGCTAAGTGTGATCAAGTAAATAGATAATGTTATGTAAAATTAATATAATGACAGATACTAAGTTGCAAAACCACATCACTAAGCAAAAGAAAAACTCTTTATGTCAAGTACAGTATTTCTATATAGCACAGTTTAGAAAATTAGGGTTCCCCTTATATATACAAGTGTGTAATTGCTTTTGAGAGAAGCAAAAACTACCAGGGACATGGATTTTGTATTGCGTGATCCAGCAGCACCTTGTAATTCTAGTGGCACTTCCTGTCTATATGTGGTATTAAAAAAAATTGTATTTACCGAGGAGATAAAAGTAAGGTTGTCACTAAGTGCATATCAGAAAAAGCCTTCTTCTAGGGTTGAAACTTAAGGTTTAGAGCTACAGATCAACATTTGTTTTCATGTGTCAGTATTCTGACCAAGTAAAAGCAGTAAAATATGAAGTCAACCATTTTTACTAGTTGGTCAAGTTCAACCTTAATTATGAAAATTTTCTAATCATAAATTTTACAAGAAAATAACACTTACTGCACAAATCTCAGCAAAGACTGCTGGAAATTACATGTCTGGAAACACTTGAATATATATCTAGAGATAAATCTCAGAATTCACAAAGAAAGGACAAATGATATTCTAGCTTCTGTTGCCCTCCAGCTTTGTCTTGTGCTGCCTGACAAACTCACCACACACTCCAGTTGTCCAAACTGAGAACCAAACAGTGGGGATCTGATCTCGGTGTTTCGTAATGCTTTAAAGCATGCTGGTCTGGAGAATTTCTGTCACAGCCCTACAATATTGATAACCACAAGTGTCACAAAATCCATTTGACTGTCAATGAAACATACATAAAGTCAGAGTGAAAACAAAGTGTTACAACGAAAACTGTTCAATTATGTTCAACTAATTGGGATCAACAGATGGCTATCTATTTCAAAACACTTATTTCTGCAGATGGGTAATTTACTGGGTGCAGAATAAAGCTGCTATGAGACTGAACATTTAATGAATGAATTTCAGTCTGAATCCCTGAAAGAATAAAACAGAACCAAAACCACTTCAGCATGCAGTTGTAAGTTTCATGAACTAAAGTGAGCATTAAAATCTTTTAAAAATTGACAGATTAGGAGCATTTTAATTTTCTCAGCAAAAAAAAAAATCAAACTTTCTAGGAAAACCAATCCTCAAGATGGTGTTTTAGCCTTAAGCCTGCTAAATGACTTTGGGCCATCTTCCAAGTACTTCATTTGACATTCAGAGCAGATATTTTTAAATCACACTCTAAAGCATATAAATTCATCTAGGTAGCATCATCTTTACAATAAAAAAAAGAATATAAGAGTTTAATTAGAAACTCTCTTGTTCCACTGTATTACAAGACACTGAAAGATATTAAGACAAATTAACAACAAAAGAGATACCCTATGGCCACATTTTAGGCATAACCATATCGAGGTGCCTTCATCAGTCTCCTTGTCCTCAGCCTTCTCTTGTGTCTTACTGTCTGCCTTGCAGTCCTGACAAACATGCCACTCCACATTGTGCAGTGCCCTTCTCACTTGCCCTTGGTCCAGTCCTTTACGAATATGCTTGCATACAGGTTCTACAAATTAAAAAGCACAAGAAGGATGTAGATAGCATAACAAATACAAACACTGAAGACACAGGCAGCAACCCAGAAGCTGAAGCAGTCTTTCTAGAGCCAAAGAAACACTGACAATTTATCATAGTATCAGAAAGAAACCTTTTGTTACCACCATGCACAATCTGGGTATACTGTTGCTGTATCATAAACTTTACTTTGAGGTGTTTTTATTGCTCAGATAGTGTAACAGCTCTGAATCCATCTTTGTTGAGGCAAGATTACAGCTTTAAGATTGCAAACTTCTATTAGCATAAGGTGAAACTGGTGCAAATTTTTGTACCTACAGTTCTGTTCCTGTCCAAGATTACAGGATTTTATCAAAGTGCAAATGCTGGCCAACAAGAGACAAACATAGATATTCAGCATTGTCTTAGCCTTTCTGAAAAACATAAGCTTCATCTACAACCTCAAACTCGTCATTTAAAAAGCAAACAAAAAAAATTTTATACTGGCAACTACTGTTACAGTGGAATTATTCATGTTACAGTAGAACATTCATGATCAGTCTTAGTTTCATATGTGGCTTTACAGGTCTCTGTCATCTTAAGATAACCTATTTACAGGCAAAAAATTAAGATGACAGCAGCAATTAGAACATAACTGATCTCTTTGCAGGAGAAAAAGAGAAACAGTTACAGCAGACATTGGCACCAGGAAACAAAAAAGGCCCCAACACCCCCAAGAACCAAATCAGACAAAAGCAGCTAAAAAAGGCATTCTTTAGAGACAGAAGCTAGCACAAGAAGATCAGGACAATCAGGAAACCAAAGCAGAGTGGACACCAAGCTTCCTCAAGCTCTAAGTGCTCTCTCCCAGCTAAATTAACCTGGTTCAACTCACTCCCCCAGCTGGGACCAACAAAAAAGACGAGAAAGACACAATCTGTGACTTGGCAAATAAGGTAGTAGAAGAGAATGTTACACAACACAAGTAAAAACAAAAGCTACCATAACCAGGATAAACAAGACCAAAAAAAAAAAAAAAATCTGCACAGGTGGGATCCAGTGGAGCCGAAGAATAAAACTTAGTATCTCTGATTAGGAGCAAAAGAGCAGAAAGAAGAGGTTAAGAGGTTTTAACCAAAATACACTATGGGAGCTGAAGTGTCTAGAGTTAGTACCAAATTAGCTGCAAGAATAAAGACAAATTTCTTCACAAAAAGTATTTTAGTCACAAGTTTTCCTGCTAAAGCAAGAATTTTCTGCAACAAATTTTCACTAGGAAAATGCAACCTGAGCTTGGAGGCTGACTCCACAAACCCTTAATATTCTGAGTAATTTTACACAATCTGTATCAGTAAAGAACTGTGTGTTTGAGTTTCCTTAAAAAACAGAAACTAATCTCAGTTTTCAAGACAGGATTATTATTTTCTAGCATACTTAGAAAAGTCACGACAACAGTATTTCTTGCTTAGACTTGAGTTTCAATTAAAAATCCAGATTTTGTAAATGAGACTTCAAAGCAAGTGACTAGTATGAAGGCCTTCTAATGTTAATCAGCTTTCAAGCTTTCTTTGAGGTTAAAAGAAACATTAGGTCCACAGACTTCTCCAAGGAAACATACCCAGCATATCTGGAGACTCATCAGACTGTGCAGTTTTGCCTTTGATGCGTTTCTTTCCCATATTTTTTGTCTGTAATTGTTCCTAAAAGGAAGGACCTAACAAAGAAAAACAGTAAGATTAGAAAGTAGTTATAGTTTTCCTTGTTCATTGCTACACAAGTTATTTTTATGGCCAAGCTGTCCCTTGAGGTGAATTAACTTGTTTTAATTTGACATTTTCCAAACAAAAAAAATTAACTATATTTTAACATTAAGCAATCGTAATTGTTGTATAGAAAAGATCACAGTGTGAATTAAAAAACTCAAATTATTTAAAATGTTAAATCAAAATCATTGCAGAAAATAATAAGGAAATAAAATAAATAATGGAAACTTCAGTATCAAAAATCCTATAAACCTTAAGGACTTAAACACCACAGGGATTTTATGAAAAGGAATTGCTTTTGTCCCAATTAAATCCTGAAGCATTTGCAACCTTTTCATTTTGTTTACTGCAAATTCCCTGTGTCTTTGATGAAGTCTGACACAAGGAAAAGGCTATTAACATATTTGAAAATATACAGACAATGGGAATTCGAATTTTTCAATTTCTTTACTGGAGAAGATTTATCATCACCTTCCCCACATATCAAGCAAATAATTCAGATGGCGTCTGTTACCTACTATGCCTATGGACCCTTCTCAAGACTGATCCACCACTACAGAGTCCTAAGTCAAGAAAGACCCTTCAGATCAGTGGCTACTGCACATACTGCACATGTGGTGGGACATTTTTAGTTTCTAGTCTGTAGCCCTTGTAACTTAACTTACAGAAGATCATTCAAAAATCTCAGGTATACTTAAAACTCAACATATGTTGTACAATGAAAACAAGGAAGCTAAAAGGGTTCAAAATCAATTCTCTGCAATCTTTGTGGGCTAGCTTAACCCTGCTGTCCACCCTTCATGTAAACACAACCAGCACTAAATCTGTATCAATCCACCTTTCCAAATCCATTTCTTTGCTTGTACTTGGCAGCACACCAGCCCCAGAGCACAACTGTCTGCTTGGAGGTGTCACAGCCAAAAAAATTAGGCCAGACCAGGAGAATCAGAGAGAAAAATTAAGCTGGGGAGAGCTGAGGCATGATACTCACAGAGGACGTTTTGTATGAAAAGCCATTTACAAACACGAGCGTGTTTGCTTAAGTATACTCTTAGGGCAGATGACCCAATTTTTGATGGCTGCTTGGCAGCCACTTCATCAAGAGCAGAATTATGAACTTCTGCAACTTAGCATTCAACTTGTCCAGAAAAAAAGTAACTGTTCATTCAACAAACTTCCTCTACAGCACTTTTTTCTGCAAAAAGCTACAACACTTGATCTTGTAAAAACAAATTTTAATAAATAAAAATCCTTTCTAAATTGTCCTTGCTCCTGCCGGGAAGGCAGGACAGCGTCAACACGTGAGGCTGTTAATTTAACCCACGCTGTGCCTGGACAGACTTGTCCGACAGGCTCTGCACCAGCTTTTCCACGGCACAGCCCTCAGGAGGAAATGCACAGCCTGAACGACTGAAGCGTTTTCTATTTTTTAAAATAAGACAGAGCGATCTGTAAGCGACCAAACGCGCACCCGCGTTTGATAGACATAATGGAAAAAAGCCCTCCGAGGCTCGCTTGTGGAACCTCCGTGTGGGGCGGGCAGCAGGCCGGACCCTGTCGCCAGCCAGCACTTCCCGTCCCGCGGCAGCAGGTGAGCCCCGAGCCCGCCCCCGTGACCCGGCACCGCCTGCTTCCGATTGGCTTGCGCCATGACCGACAGCTGTCGCAGCCAATCGGAATAGCCGCGCGTCCGGCCGGAGCGAAGGCTATAGCGCGCCGGCGGAGCGAGTCCCGAACTGGGAGGACAGTGGCCGCGGCAGCAGGAGCGCGGCGGCGGCCCCCGAGGACTCCCGTCCCTCACCTGCCGCTGCGGCTGTGCGAGCAACTTGGTGTCGCATGACTTCACCACACGGAGCAGGCGGCAACCTCTCACCTCAATCACCGGTGGCGGGGCGGCGGTCACCGGCTGCCATGCGCGCTTCCGGCGCGCTGCATTGTGGGGCGCGGGTCACGTGTGCGCATGCGCGGGCGGCACGCCGGGTGCCTCCCCTCAGTAGTCTGAGGGCCGCGGGGGAGCGGGAGCGGCGTGGGTGTGTTCGAGGGGCATGGGAGGCTCCCCAGCGCTTAGAACACCTGAGCAACAGCCCTGACTGGAAAACATTGGTTTGGTGACACAGCAGCGCGTCCTGTCCCACCTCAGGGCAGTGGAAACCGCGAGGGCTGTCAGTGTGTCTGCGTGACCCGGAGTTCCCGGCAGAGACGAGCCGCTTATGATGGGCTTTTTAATAACTATTAATATGCATTAAGTCTGCAGCTTCCTCGTGAGGGAAGCGGAGGGACAGGCACTCTGGCGACGAGTGACAGGACCCGAGGGCAGGACAGAGGAGGTTTAAGGTTGGATATTAAAAAAAAAGATTCTTTCCCCCGGAGGGTGGTTGGGATCTGGAACAGCCTCCCGGAAAAGTGGTCACTGCACCGGCCTTCCAGAGCTCAAGAAGCGTTTGGACAAAGCTTTCCAGACACAGGGTGTGACTCTTGTGATTTTCCTGTAAAGGGCCAGAAGTCAGACTCGATGATCCTTGTGAGTTCCTTGTAGCTCAGCATATTCTGTGATTCTGTAACATGATTTGCATAGGAGTAGTTAATGAACTTTGTCCCATATTCAAGCTGTGTCTTTCTTCCCTGATTTTTTCTTTGCTCAAGGAACAACAGAAATGGCCAACCAAGAAGAAGCAGAAATACAAATTTCAGAGTTAGATTTACTGTCTAGCATGTTTCCTTATGAGGAAGAGTTTGCTGTGACAGACCAAGTGGCTCTAGCTGAATTGAAACACTATGTTGAAAATGAATCTGCAGAGGTGCCATCTTCAAAACTTCAATTTATACTGAACGTAAAGGCAGAGGTGCCTAATGCCTCTATGGTATTGTAAACAGCTTTTTTAAAAAAATATTTTATTACTTTGTGGAATTTTATGGTTTACATGAAGTAAATATTTGCTCATTTGTTTTTAGGTGGAATTCTCTATGGCCTGTGCTTTACCATTTAAATATCCGACTGTTCTCCCAGAAATTACTGTGAGGTATGACTGCTAATAAAAACATTTATAAGTTAAAGTGTGTTGCATAAATACGGTTATGATCAGAGAAAACAGCTTTTTTTTATGGTTTACTGCCAAATTAAGCAAGGTTGACAACAATGCTGAAGAAAAAACAAACGAGCTTATGATTTCTATGGTGTGCTCAGCAAATAAGTGAGGGAAAGGGAAAAAGCATGAAGGAGCCATCACCTGTACAGAAGGGTTACATGTAGATACTGTTCATAGGTCTGATGCTCAAGAAGAAAGATGTGTCTGTTTTGATAAAGCTTAAGATAAACTGAAGGGGTGAAGAGATAGTTAAAGGTCTTATTCTTCCCTTGTCACAATACTGATTCTTCCATCCTTCTGATTTTGTTATTTCTGTTTAAAGAAGTAGACTTGTATATTACAGGAAATTAGTTCAGCCACCATATTTACTTTTGAAGTACCTTTTTCTTGACTTTGTTTTACAGATTGGTAGTGCTGTGTGTGAATTCAAGAGTTAGCACACCAATTAAATACTAATGAAGATGTTTTCATAGCTAATATGAGTTAAATATGAATAGCAAGCGTATTATCTAACTATGCCTGATTTTCTTGGCAGCTTGAAGCAGAACTTTTGAAAAGTTATGAAGCTGGGGAAGGGGCTGGAACACAAGTCCTATGAGAAGCAACTGAGGGAGCTGGGGTTGTTTAGCCTGGAGAAAAGGAGACTCAGGGAAGACCTTATCACTCTCTGCAGCTACCTGAAAGAGGCTGTTGCCAGGTGGAGATTGGCCTTTTCTCCCAGGGAACACACAACAGGGTGAGAGGAAATGGCCTCAGGGAAGTTCAGGTTGGGCATTAGAAAGAATTTCTTCATGGAAAGGGTGGTCAGGCATTGGAAGTTGCTGGAGTCACCTCCCTGGAGGTGCTCAGTGCATGGCTGGATGTGGCACTTGGTGCACTGGTTTGGTTGACAAGGTGATCATTGATCAAAGATTGGTCTTCATATTGGATGTCTTTTCCAAACCTAAGGATTCTGTTATTCTGTGTTTTTAAAAACATGCTAAATTGTAAACATGTCTATATTTATATGCATTCATATTTTTTCTTTTTCGTTAGGTCGTCATTATTAAGCCGCTCTCAGCAGATTCTCCTTAACTCTGATCTAAAAACGTATTTGATGCAAAACTTCAGTGGCGAGCCCTGCATGTTGAGTGCGAGGGAATGGGTTAAAGACCACGCAGCTGCTTACATTGACAAAGATCTTTCATCCTCCTCAGTGACAGCCTCAGAAGCCACACAGTCAGAAGTCACCATGTTCACTCGATTGTGGATCTATAGTCATCACATTTACAACAAACAAAAAAGAAAGAATATCATTGACTGGGCCAAGGAGCTCTCTCTGTCAGGGTTTTGCATGCCAGGGAAACCAGGTGTTGTTTGTGTAGAAGGTTTACAAAGTAGTTGTGAAGAGTTCTGGTCAAGGTTAGTTCTTCTTTGTATTTAAATGACATTAATAGTTAGAATATTGCATTTTATCATGTTGTACATGTGGCCAGAAGGTGGGAAACCCAACCACCTGCTAAGATGTAAAGATCTGCAGAGTATTGGTGTTTATAATAATGCATGTACAACTCTGAATATCCACTGTACTGTTGGTTGCAACAGTCAAAGCAATCAGTACCGCATGGTGCATATTTATTTCTGTTTTATTTTTCTGTGTTTCATTTTATAGAGATGGACTGCAGTACCCCAGTTGTGTTAGATAATGTGTGCTGTTCTATCACTTCACATTCGTGTTTATTCTGCTCCCATCATTTATCCTTCTGGGTGCTGCAGACTAAATAAGCATTGTAATTTGATTGTATCAGCTAAGACTGTCTAAGAATTCTTAACACAGGGAAGGCAGAAGTGAGCCCTGAAATGGCAACCACATCCTCATTGATTATTTTGTGAGAGATAGCATTAAAGTTTAATTAAAATTCTGAGGAGAGATAAAAAAAAAACAAGTTTCTGCTTATGGGAGTGTTTGCATGTGAGCAGTGTGTCTATTACCGGCTCATGTACCATTATCTCTGTCAATATATATATACAAATAGAATTTATTGACTTTTGGAATAGTAGTTATACCATAGTATTTCCTAAAACGGTCTTTATTTTGTAGTTAGATTAATATTTCCCCAATTGCTTTCAGGGTAAGAAGATTAACATGGAAAAGAATTCTTATTCGGCACAGAGAAGATGTTTCTTTGGAAGGTGGAGGACATGCTGAGATCCAGAAGCAACGGAAGTTCCCCACTTTGGAAGAAAAATGTTTTGATGCGCACGGTGCCAGGGGAAATCATATGGACTTGGGGCAGCTATATCATTTTTTAGAAGAAAAAGGATGTGCTGACATATTTCAAATGTACTTTGGGGTTGAAGGGCATTGAAGGGGTTGAAGATCAGTACAAGCCCCAGCACCTACATTTCTAATTTAATCCTTGTAACAGATTCCTTAGCTTTTCTGCAACAGTTGGTCACAGAGGGAATTAATAATTCATGATTTATGTGATGAATCTAGTTTTCAATGAAAACAAATATCCAGAATAATGAAAATGATTATATGAATGCTTTATACACTTTCAGGTGTTAAGGAGATGTAGGGTACATACCTACTTAAAATGAAAGAAAATGTGTTTGATAACCTACTGGACAGTTACAGAGCTATAGATGGATGAACAGATGGAATATGGTGAATGAATATACAAATAAGAAGAGACACAAATACAGTGTGGGTATCTCAGGAACAAAAACATGATGTTTACATTAATTGTTACTATCTACATTCACTTTATGAAAACTTTTTTTAAACAGTCTTCTACTTTCTACCTGGAAGTATAGTAAGCCAAGAGATCAATATTTTATTTAAAAAAGAACAAAGGGAGGGAGCAAGTTTACAAGAGTCTTACTCATGCTACCACGGTGAGCTAGGTTGCCTACTCTAAGGCATAAGAATTTTCTGTAGGTAAAAGTGTTTGTGCAGATAAGGTAGATACCATGGTGGCCCCACTACATCTCTTGGTTTGGTTTGTGTAAAAGCAGCAGTATACCAAGGATTGGGCTCTCTTACAGCGTGCTCCAAAACTCTGAAACACTCCTCAGCCTTCTGAGTTCGCAAATTTTCACTCCTGTAATATGAAGTGCATGTTGCATGTATTTTTGAGTGGGATTTCAACAAAGCTGTATCAATGAATTCTAATTTTGTAGATACTGTATCTAAATGCCATGGTAGAAAAACCAGGCATTGGTTTATTTGGATTAAATGTTTTTATTAAATACTGATTAAATATTTCTGTACACGTCTAGTAAAATCGCTAACATTCGGCGCTTTGGTGTGGACTTGGACCACCTTTTGTAGGGATACTTCACAGCGATGCCATTTGACAAGCGTGGGTGAAACTTTCTCAAATCCAAAGTCCCTGTAAGTGTACAAGAACGCCGCGGCTCCGTAGAGGCCCCCACGGGCCGCTCGAAGTTTAGGATGGATGGATTTTATTTTCTCGTTAAAGGATGTTGTTGAGTTGAAGGCCTCTCGCTGCAGTTCCCCCCCTCCCGCGCCGCGCGGCCCCGCCCCGGAAGTGTCGCGGTGCCCGCGGTGGCTCCGGCCGGGCCCCGGTCCCGGTGCCGCCGCCGCCGCCGCCATGGGGGGCAAGAACAAGCAGCGAACCAAGGGCAACCTGCGGGTGAGCGCGGCCCGCGGGGCCGAGGCGGGTGGCGGGGCCGAGGAGGGTGGCGGGGCCGGGCCCAGGCCTCGGGAGCTCCGGCACTCCAGGTGTCCTGGGCGGGCTCCGCGGGCCGCCGGAGCCCGGCTCCCACGGCGGGACAGCGCTGTCTTCGGGCCCGGCTGTGGTGGCTGGGGCCGGGGCCGGGTCCGCCTCTTGGCCTGGGTTGTGCTTGAGGGGAGTGTGACTCCTGCTGTGGAATTTGTACAGAGAGGGGCAGCAAAATCACCGCGGGTGTAGATTCAGCAAGGTGCCGGTAGTACATTCGGTGTGTTTTTCTGTGCGGAGTCTGTGCCAGAGATAATGTGACATCTGTCCTATCACTCAGGATTGTGGTAGAAGTCTAGTGTTCAGGTTCCCTAATTCCTCCCTGGATTTAGGGAAGACTAGGGAATACAAAGCAGCATGTCCTTAACAGCTCACATGCAGAAAAGGTGATTTATACTCCACAAACTCATAAAACTACTGCTGTCATTAGGAAATAAAAGGTATTTGCATTATGAGGTGTCCCAGAGGACATTAAAGCATCAGTCAGTTTTGGGATAGTCTTTCCAAGAGAGTGAGGTTGAAACAAACCTGAGCTAATAGTACAGTGAGCAAATGGAGTAAACTGGGAGAGGTGTTGAGCTCTAAAACACACACTGTGTGATGGTATTTATTATACTTGTTACATATGCATGTTTTTGTTCCATTCCTCTAAATAATTTTTGGCCACTTGGTTGCTGGGAGAATCCTTTATTTTGTCTCTTTCTTCAGAGAAAAAAGGAGCATTCCCTGGGAGCTGTATTGGCCCATGATAAGAACTAGGAAAACCAGAAACAGTGAAGGAGGATAAATAGTTTCTTAATAAATTGTTTGCTTGCAGGAGGAGTTTTCTGTTAGGCTTTTTTTGTGTAGCAAAAAAGCAATATATGGCAATAAAAGCAATGAAATTCTCCATAAGTATCCATGCATTATGAGAAAAGAGACTTCTGATTCACAGAATCACAGAAATGAAATAGAATCACAGAATTTTTTGAGTTGGAAGGGACTTTAAAGCTCATTTAGTCCCACCCCTTGCCATGGTTAGGGACACCTTACACTAGTCCAGGTTACTCCATGCCCCCATCCAGCCTGGCCTTGAACACTTCCAGGGATGGGGCAGCCCCTGCTTTTCTGGGCAGGCCTGGGTGTCAGGGCTTCACCACCCTTACAGGCAAGAATTTCATATGTAATCTAAACCTTTTTCATTTCAGTTTGAAGTCATTCCTCCTTGTCCTATCACTACAGTTCCTGATGAAGACTTCTCTCCAGCTTCCTTGTAGGCTCCCTGCTAATACTAGAAGGATGTTATGAAGGCTCCCTTTTCTATTTCACGCTGAACAGCCCCAACTTTCTCAGCCTGATCCTAAAGAGAAGGATCATTTTCTAGGTCAAATGTCTATGTTTAAAGCACAGGTGGACTCTTCTTTGAGAGACTTCTATTTTAATTAGCAGGTTAATTATACAATATATATAGGGTCATATTTTCAAATGCATGATGTGTGAAAAATAAAATTCAATAGTTAATTGACTCCTGTCCCTGCTTTTTTTCAGCCTTCTAGCAGTGGTCGAGCTGCAGAGCTCCTTGCCAAAGAACGTGGAACAGTGCCTGGGTTTATTGGCTTTGGAACATCTCAGAGTGATTTAGGATATGTTCCTGCAATTCAAGGAGCAGAGGAGATAGACAGCCTTGTGGATGCTGATTTCCGAATGGTGTTGCGAAAACTTTCTAAAAGGGATATCACAACCAAGTTAAAAGTAGGTGTATCCTTTTCCCCCCATAATTTATTTATTTTTAGTAAGAGAATAATACATTTTTCTTAAGGGTGGAAGAGCAAGGGGAAGTAACTAACACTAATTTCACTTCGGCGGATTTGCTAGAACTGCAATCCAGAAGATAGCTTGGATAACCTATAGCAAGGTCCATCATGCACTTTATAGATGCTCTTTTGTAAGAAATGAATTATTTCTTGGAAAAGAGAGTTGCAGTTTCAGATACAAACTGGTAAATTACAGAACATATGTGCCTGACTTCTTAAGTCATGCTCTTGATATTTTGATTTTAGGCTATGCAAGAGTTTGGGACGATGTGCAAGGAAAGAGAAGCAGAAGTTGTTAAAGGTGTTCTTCCTTACTGGCCGAGAATTTATTGTAAAATTTCACTAGTAAGTATTGAAGTATTTAAATTAAAGACTTACCTATATACTTCCTGTGACTACCTTTAAGGTGGTCTTTGTCGACCTATTTACCTTTGTTGGAATTACCGATTTGTTCTAGGAGAAACATCAAGTTGAAGGAAAATACTGTTCTTTTTTGGTGGACTTATTTCAGTATTGGCAGTCTGTGGAATCTTGAACTGTTGATGTCTGTGCTATACTTCCTTGATAGGTCTGTTAGACCTTTATGTTTAAAAGATGGTACTATATTTCTTAGGAAAAGTTCTTTTTCCAGAAGGGCTAGAGCGTCTGTTCAGTTAACATAAATTGTAAATTGACTTAGGAGTAATATCTGACCTTAAAATATCTAACACTAAAAAAAAACCCCAAACCCAAATATGAAAAGACAATATGTAGCCAGATTAGGAATAAGTATCTTGATATATGTCCTGTATTTCCAAACTGTCTAGAATGGCTACTGTTGAAAGCATCATATGGGACAAAATTAATCATTATTCTTATCCATTAGAGTAATTCCTACTGTTTCTCTCTGGAGTCAAGAGTGTAGAAAATCATGATGTTGTAAATTCATATGCAAATAAAGAATAACAGTGCACAGCTTTATGGTTGTTCTAATTCAAAAGATGTCTTCAAGGCTTCCTGTTTCTCCTGCCTCTTGTCTGTCTGTAAAATGTTTGTATAAATTGGAAACAAAAACTGTTATTAAGGATATCAGGGAAAGGTTACAATTCTGAGTATACAGCAGTTTAGGAATATGATGCTACTAAACTGGGACTCTCCTCATACCTTGGGTTACCTTGGTAACCTTGGGTTACCAAACAGTTTTTGTCGTTGGTGTGTATTTTTAAATCTATGTTTCAAATCCAGTTAATTGCAAACCCGGCTTTTTAATCACCATTTTGCTTTGAAGTACCTGAAATCAAAGGTACATTTCTTAAACCAATAAACCTTTCTCCTTTTTTCCTTATTTTCTTTGTTTAATAGGATCACGATCGCCGTGTTCGAGAAGCAACTCAGCAATCTTTTGAGCAACTGATTCTTAAAGTAAAAAAACACTTAGCTCCTTACTTAAAAAGTATCATGGGTTACTGGCTGATTGCTCAGTGTGACACTTATCCCCCTGCTGCTTCTGCTGCAAAAGTAGCTTTTGAAAAAGCTTTTCCTTCAAGCAAGCAACCTGAAGCCTTAGTATTCTGTAAGGATGAAATTCTTAATGTGAGTTTATACTTTAGTATTTCTTTAAGGCTTTGTGTATATCAACTTCTATTATAAGTTTCAAAGTCATCCCCCATCTATTCTTCACAGTTAAACTTCTTTCTCACCTAAAACTTTGCCCCTGTGAAGAAAACCATAGAATGGTTTGGGTCGGAAGGGACTTTTAAAAGGTCTTCATGTTCCACCCCCTGCCATGGACGGGGACAACTTCTACTAGACCAGGTTTTTCCAAGCCCTGTCCAACCTGGCCTTAAACACTTCCAGGGATGGGGCAGCCACAGTTTCTCTGGGCAACTTGTGCTTGTGCCTCACCACTCTCACAGGGAAGAATTACTTCTGTAAGGAAATATAAAAAAAAAAGAAGACTAAATAATGCAGAGAAAAAATGTATCTGTTTTTTTGGACTTGAGAATGACGAACCAAAGGAATGAATAGTGAATTTCCTTGTGTGCATTCCTATGTAATGATGCTTAGTCAACACATAATGTTGCTGACATATGAAATGATGCTGGAGCAGTTTAGCTACAGTGAAGAAGGAATGAGGAATGTTGAACAGTGTTTCAGCATCTACAGGTTTAATTCTGACCAAGGTTTACGGTCTTCTGCCAGTCAGATATGATACTCAATTGACTCAATTGAATTAAAAAAAAGGTAAAAGATTGCATTGCCAGCCCATCATGTGCAAACCTGTTTTGATTTGCCTGAGCTTGGCTTCTTTTTAGCAGGAGCACATTGGCAATAGGGCTGCAATTTACTAAGTATTATGAAGACTTAATTCAGACAGTACCACAGCTAGTATGTTCAGAATGAGTCAAATTCTTTTCTAGTGTGTTTACTAGCTTGTCTAAAAATATTAGAAATACAACTCAGAGGTTGTGAAATTTTATTGTAGGGCTGTTTCTGAATAATGTGTGGACTATATTGTCCACATAAAAGTATTAGATTTCTTTGTGTTTATATGTGTTGGTTTTTCCCCATAGGTACTTCAGGATCACCTTCTGAAGGAGACAGCTGATACACTCAGTGACCCTCAGTATGTTTGCCTGCTTAAATGTATATTTAAGACTTTAAATCTTGGTCTTTATTGGGTTCTCTGTCCCTGGAAGTAGTGAATTTAGTTTTGTTTGAGGACAC